AATGACCGATACGGAGGTGAGTCAAGAGGACTTACTCTCCTCATGATTTATATTCAATTCCCAACACTACATTCTGGCTTTTACATGTCTCAATTTATTGTTCACTTGAGATTCCCATAACTTCTGCCATTTATCTAACATTCTGTTTTTGATGACCTTCTGAATACCTCTAAAGGGAATAGACTGGTGGACACTGTCAATAGCTGACTCAGCTGCAATATCAACTAATTCATTCCTCTTGATCCCAATGTGTCCAGGCACCCAGCAGTAAATGATACTGTAACCCCGATCCTTCAGACTTTGATCTAGCTTAGCTGCTTCCCAAACTAAAGGGTTGTTATTATTATAGAAGATTTTAATCGACATTAAGGCATGTTTGGAATCCATATAGATGATGCATTTCTTGCAGTGTTGTCTAGAAATATATATCAGAGCATTATAGATGGCAGATATTTCTGAGGAAAAAACAGAAAAGGCTTCAGGTAGCCTAAAGCTTTTTGTAGTATCACCACACACAAATGCCTATCCAACTTGATTGTTGGACTTTGAACCATCCGTATATATCGGGGTATAGCCTGTTGTACCTGCATTTGTGCTCTTCAAAGATTTGTTGGGAAAAAACATCACAAGTACTTCTCTTGTCGAAATAACCAAAAATGCTGAGAGTAGTAATTTTTAAATATATGGAAGGTGGGAGATCATATAACCTTGCTTCTTTAACATGTACATCAGTCAAATCATAATTTTCCAAAAGTGACTTACCTTCAAAGTGAAAGGAGGAATGCAAGAAGTTTGTGTTTGGTACAAAAGATTATACTGGTCATCATGGAGAAGTGATCGAACAGGACGAAATGGTTGAGAATTAACTCTGAAGTAGTACTTCAGAGACAACTCTTCCTGTGTTAAACTTAAAGATGGCTCATGGCATTCAACATAAAGACTGCACTGGAGACGTTCTGAATGCATTGGAGCAAATTCGCAGAGCTTGGTAGTGGATAGGGTCAATTTTCAGCAATACTGAAGGCCATGTAGATCCACAGGTAATCGATCCACATTAAATTTTTGATCGAATAAGACAATCTATAAATTTGCAGAACGGAATGTCCGTCAGCACTCCAAGAGGTATTCACTAAGACCTACAGAATATTTATTTCTTAAGGCAGTTGTTTAGGTTTAATACATGAGACAAGAAGCTGAGCTTCCTGTCAAGTATTAGTCCTAGGAACTTAACCTCAGGCACCACTGGAATCAAGGCACAGTCTAAGAAGAGGTCTGGTTCTGGGTGTAGGTTTCTTTTATGGCAAATAATGTACACATACTGTCTTCTGCTTTGAGAATTTGAACCCATTTCTATTGGCCCATTTAGTAATTTTGTATAAAGAAACCTCTGGTTGTCTCTGAGTACAATGCAGCCTTGATAACAAATTTAAAGATTATCGATCTATAATGTGCCAAGAACAGGTTTTGGAAGTTTATTAAGAATAGAATTAATTTTTTTAATTAAAAAGAGTGATGCTCAAAACGCACCTTTGGGCACACCTTCCTCTTGTATAAACTCCTTTGATAGCAAAGAGCCTATTTGCACTTGGAAGCATCTATCCATTAAAGGTTCTGCACAAAGAGTGGTAACTGTCCACATAATCTAGTGTCGTATAAATCATGAAGTATTCCATATCTCCATGTTCTGTCATATGCTTTCTCCATATCAAAGACGAAGGAAACTAAATGGTTTATTTTCATAAGAACATTTTGTACAGCTGTTTCAAGGATCGCAATATTATCTAGTTGATCTTCCTTTTCGGAAGCCACTCCGATATGGTGATAATAGACAATTTTCTTCTAAGTAGTGGACTAAGTGGTAGTTCACAATCTTTTCAAGAACTTTGCATGTACAGCTGGTCAGAGCAATGGGACGATAGAGGGATTCTTAGGATCTTTCCCTGGCTTTGCTATAGGGATTACGCTAGCTCTTCGCCATGCATCCTGGAAAACCTGTTCCGCTCATATTCTATTATATAGTGCAAGGAAAGTAGCTAATTTAAGCAGGAGATGTTTTACCATCTTATAGCTTATACCATCAGGACCTGGACTTGTTTTGCTAGTTATGAACAATGCTCTCATCAATTCAAGCATCGTAAAATAAGTATTATAAACTTTTAGGTTCGAAGTGTTAAATACAATTCATTTATTTTCTGTATGATGCTTGTAGGATAGCGATTCTGTGGAATAATTACTACTATTTGATACATTGGCAAAACCTTTTCCAAAATATGAGGGTGGCCATCATGGAGACTTATTTTTCTGATGCTGACTCTTACTTAAATACGAAAGCAGATGTTTTGGAAAGTCTTCATCTGTTTTCATCTCTGAATCTATCATATCAGCACATATGCTGTCAAATGAGCTGTAGCTTGTGCTTCTGGATTTTGATTTTGATTGGTTCTGTATTACTTTTTGTTTTTTTTTCTTTGTAGTTCTATGCTCAAGCGGATTGGGGTTTTTTTACTACTTCTCTTTTGTCTGTTTGGTTACTCTTTGATGTTTCTAAAGTTTTTTTAGATTGCAGAGTAGGTAATGTTCGAGTTCTAATTGATTGAAAAGTCTTGGAGGCATTGGCATAAAAAACGCTGAGCCAAGGCTGAGAACTATCAGCTATCTTCTTTGCTTCTGCATGGGATATTTTTCTTGGTGACCTTTATGTTCTGCACTTTTCCCCTTTTCCATTTTCTACAAGATCTAGAATACCCTGGGTGCCCTCCCTCACAGTTTATGTAAAGCAGTGTTTTTAAGCAGCCTTCACTGCCATGGCCCACCTCTGAGCATCTGGCACAAGTAAGATTGCCATTACAGAAGAATTTAGAATGCCCATATTGCTGACATTGGAAACAACACACCGAATTGGGCACTTATGGTTGCAATGGGCAATTTGGATATCTTGCTTTGATAGATTTGGGAAGAAACGGAGTGTTAAATGTTAGTATAATATATCTCGTGTTCACAAGTTGTTCATCTCCACGTCTCTTAATTCTTCACATTCTGAACACAACTTGGTTTTTGAGTTCAGTAATCATTTCATCCTCTGTAACAGTTATTAGGTCTGATTCTGAAATGACACCCCATGAGAAATTTAACGTCTTATGAGGGGAGACATTTATTTGTGCGTTTCTTAAGCTTGTTAGATTGCAAAGTGTAGCTGTCTGTTTGGGAGATGTGGTTTCTATAAGTAGATCACCAGATCTAAGCTCCTTGATGTTCTTTGGTTCGCCTATTGTTGAAGTTATGTATTTGTTTACCAAAAAAGGTGATATTTTCTGCAATCCCTTATTTAGTTATTTATAACCAGGAATTTGTAATTTCCAGTAGATCTTAATTTGGGATTAATAGAAGTTTTCTTCTGTGCTTTATCAATCATTTCAACGTAGTAAGGAAGTATATTTTCACATTCATACATTGATTTATTTATTAATTATCATAATGTGCAGTTGGTTGGTTTGAGAAATACAATTATTTGAAGAAGTCATAATATAGAAAGATAATAGTTATTTCGGACATGACTGTACCACCCACCATTCAGTCCAACTAGGGGAATGCAGATGCCTGCACCAATACTAATCATATCTATACATTCACACAGCATTCCTAGAACAGACCTCCACCCTTAACTATGTGTCCAGCAGATGCTCTGATTGCTTAACCCCAAGCCAGAAGCAATCTGGACCAGCCGATTGATGCATACGGGGCCAGTATGTACCACGCATTTAAACTGATGCAGAAGCCAAGTCAGTATGTTGGTGACAGTACCGCACCTCTCATTTACCAGGACCCTAGTTTCCTTCCAGCCTTTCGGGTCTCCACGCACGGCAAATACGTGGGCAGTTTATTCTTAGTGAGGAGCTGAAACAAAAGGGTGTAACTGTTTCTCACCTGCAGCCCAACCTCCAAGAAGGAAACCACAAGGGGAGAGAAAAAGGAAAAGGTGAGACAGATCACTGGGGGCTAATTGAGTCGTGATACTCGTCTCACCAAGAAGATTCCCTGATAGGCTAGGGTACCTCAGGATTGCCAAACTCGTACTTACAAACATGAGCCCCTGAGGGAGGCAACAGCATGAATTTGTCCAGCCTTGTTTCATTTTTGTAAAATCCCCCAAAGTATGGATCTGCAGGTTTTACAACTCCTCTTCTCCTTCCAACAACTACTTGAGAGGACTTTTGGTTTGAAAATATTTTAAGCCCCTCACCATTTTGCAAAGACATTATACATTTAGAAGCATCCATCCCTTCTAAGAAATTCACACCTGAGTTCAAGGCTATGGCTGCCAGTTTTCCTACTATCATGTCAACAAGATGGCTTCTCTAGATATAAATTTACTAAATACCTAATTTAATAAATGGATAGAAATGCATAAAAATGGACTCATCAGAAAATGTTGCATTTCCAATCAGCAGTCCAGGTTATGTGGTCCATATACACTTTTTGCAAAACCTAATATTATAAAGCCAGGGCTCCATATCAGATCTGTGTAAACCACAACTGATGGTTTTGATAGGAATCGATTTTCTGTTAATATTTATTATTCTACACTTCTGTAGTTTCAATGCAATGGGATGATCCCTGAGAGGGTTACCAAAAGAAATTTGCGTATCTCATTACCAGCAGTTCAATAAAACGTGCTAATAATATCCTCTCTTATGAAAAAATGTTTTAAATTTTCTCAAATTTATTAGAATAATTTTAAGCATTATACAAAATTTGTTATGATGTCATACGATTCAATTCTATACCCAAAATAAAAAAAGGACTTTACTTTTAAGAACTAACATAAACAAATTTAAATTTAGAAAAATAATATAAAACCAATGAGTAATGAATTACACAGATGTTTCCATTATTTTGTCAGTTTGCAACATATAAAACACAGTATACATGAGTAAAGAATCAACATAAGCTTTCATTAAGAGAGCATATAAGTCTCTGTAAACATATAAATTAAAACTTACAAGGTGCTTTTTAAAAGGATTCTTACATTGCATATGTTTTCATGCATAACTTTTTCGGAAGGAAGAATTGCTTCAAGAGGAATCAATGCTTTTATATCTTCAGCTATAGTTCGAAGATCAAAATATGCCTCCTTGTATTCATCTAGGAATAAAAAAAATTATTTGGGCAAATTTTTCTTAAAGTATTCAGGACAGTGAATTTAAAAGTTAAAAAATCATTATGAATATGCTATATAAATTTACATATCTGAAATTTTCTAATTATTAACAATCCTGACTTGTATTTTTTGGGCATTCACCAGTGATATTTCACTTACATTTATCTATTTATCACTATATATATATAATGTTGTATGATCTTAAATTCATTTAGTTGGGAAATTCTGTAAATTATATTTTGTTGTATTATTATTTAAATACTTAGCTCCTAAAATGAAGAAAAATAGTAACCAAAATTGAAGATCAAAAGAAAAAAATGTACATGAATTTTACAGGGAATATGATTAATAGATTTTTTTTAAAAGATCATTGACATGTGGATTTATATTTAATAACTTTCACTTTATTTTGTTTTGCTGTTTCATTTTCATTATTCACTGGGTGTAAAAATGTAAATGTTAGTCATAAAGAATATCAAATAAATAAAGTAAATGTTAAAATATATCTAAAAATACCTTTATTGTAAAAAAAATGAATTTTATTAACAATTACCAAGCTTATTTGTAAGCAGATATTTATCATTTCCTTCCAAATCAATATTAGCCACAGGTTCTGCATCTTATAACAGATGCAAAATCAGAATTTCTTAAACTTTATTTTCACAATTTCCTAATACACCATCCACTAAGCTATTAACAATGAAACATTCTTATATTAATAAAATGCTGAAAAAACAAACCCTTAGATTCTATACCTAAAGCACAAGAAATTGAAGGGAAGATGCAGTTTTTAAAACATATTAAATAAACATATTTTAAAACACACATTATATAAAGACAGTTAAATATTTTGATACTATCCTGTTTCACCAAACTATTCCTGATACCAGTGATGCTTAATCAATTGTAGAAATCCTAACATGATTCAAGAGTTTAATTTCACACAATTCACAAGTTCAGTTTCTTTTTCATTTGTGAACTTTTTGCAAGATATAAATATTTACTTATAAGATTTTCTTTTCTCCCCCCCCCATGCTTATCATGGATTTCACAGTTTGGGAATTCTTCATAGATGAATGTGACTGATGTATTTTAAACAAGAGGCATCATAAAAAATAAACAGTTGTGCTTGAAAGATCAAGAAACGAAACTGAGTTTTGAACAAAACGCCATGAAATGGCATCACATGAGAGGATCTTGCAATGAGAAAAAAGGATTTAGATAGCAAAATTGGTTTGATGGTTCCGAAAATCCCTTTTCTCACAATCGTGAAGTTCATATATTTCTGATGTCAGAAGATGACTTCAATTGAATTTCGCAAATTACAACTTAAGATGAAACAAAATATGACTATTGATTGGAACAGTTACATGCGGGAGATTTGCCAAGCAACTTTAACAGCCCACCTAACATTTAAGATCACGGAAAGCGACAAGGTTGTCAAAGTAGACAAAAGCCTTTTCACTAGAAAAAAGAGCAGATTCTTCCAAAACAATGGATTTTTCAGTATACAGTCAAAGTCGTTAATCTGGACTCGTCGGGACTTCGGTGATTCCGGATTATAGATCATCAGTTTAAATCTGGTAAGATGGCATGCAGAAATTATAAAATTAAAAATATGAAACCGTAATTTATGAAATAAAGAACAATTATGATCTAAAGGGTATCAAAATTTACAAAAAAGAAAAAGCTTAATAGCTAATATAAAGCTTAATAGCTGTGTCAAGAATACCGACTAATTTGTCAATTGAAATTTTTTCGTTTTCAATAACCTCTATTACTTTCTTCGCTATCGGAAGCGAATTATAATGACGAGGAATTTGATTTAAATCATATCAAAGATGGAGTACATCGAGATGAAATACTACATTTAATAAGGAATTACAAGCCAAATAAAATAAAAACATCTGCCCTGAAGATAAGGATAGTGCTGACAGATCAACTTCCAATTCATAGCGCGGCGCCGCGGCATTAAAGATAAACAAAGTTTAGATAAACAAAGGATATGCCTTTATCCATTTTTTGTAGCAATTCCACTTTTTGTTTAATGAACTTTGAAACATACTTTCGCTTTGTACATCATTTACATATTAATAAATATATATCAGAAATTCTGTTTGACATAATCGAAAGTTCAAGCTTACTTTTTATAAAATTGCTCGGTTGATCTTTACATTATGGTAACTTGGCGATTTTTTGGCGAAAATTTGGCAACCAACTCTCCTACAGCAAACCTCTATTTTTTTTTTCCCCGCCGCCATTTTGTCTTCACCAAGTAAAGACATGTTTCTTTTCTTTTTATCTACTGAACACTTCTTCCAACAATCTAGTAGCCGAATTACACTTATGCTAGAAATTTTATCAAACAAAACTGCTTAATCATGACAAATATTCACTGCAAAATTGGGAAAAAGTGCACAATACCATACTCCTTACGCGTTTTTCGAAATAACACATACACATAAACCATGTACACGCCGACTTATTTTTACTTAAAAAAACATCCCAGAATTGCACAAAAATGGCATTGCATACACTCTTCACTATATCCATGTACACTGCTTTTTTCTCATAAAGTAGAAAAATTTCACGAAAATACATGACAATTTTATCAATCTTTAAACCCGGTAAAAAGAACATATATGAAATTACCTGATCGCGAAAAAGTATTTACCCTTTCCAAATATGAACATTTCCACATATAAAATAAATAAAATATCCAAAAACTTTTACCTCTAAATCATCTATTACATTATACACGTCACCAACGAATTCATACCGCAAGCATTACAAATACTTAGTATCAAATATTTAAATTATTTCCATGCACGTTTACTTCAACTTAAACGTATACCAAATTCCTACAAACATAAAATTCCAAAATAACTATCATTTCATTAAAATATAATTAAATTCAAAAACACTACTTAAAAATATAATGAGCACATACATTAAATTAATAAAAATTACCTTACAATCCTAATTACTTTAAACTAAATCATTGCTAATAACAATTTTCCCAATAATACCAAATTCCTTTACTTCCACCTTACATTTAGAACAATGCATAAAAATAATATCCAGAAATAATTAAAAATACTAACTTACCTAATCTTCTTCAGAATCTTGATTACGTGTCCGATAAACTTTTCTTTAGTTACGGCCATGGGATCCAAAAATTCACGAACACTGTTTCACACAACACAGAATAAACCAAATACAAAATTTCCAGATTTTTTTCCCGATTTCCCCCCTTTTCCGATTAAAGAACCGTAATTCGTCCATTAATATCACATGACATATCCCATGATCTCTCATTTCCCTCACACAAAATAATGCGTAATTGGAACTGAGTACTGCTCACATTATTACCAAAGTCCCAGGTAGTAACCTTTATCGCCTCCAAAATGTCACCAAACTACCAGTTACCATATTGTAAAGATCAACCAATTGCTCTAACAGTCTGCAAAAAATAATAAGCCGGATCTAATTTGAAGATTAAGGAACAACTCAATCTGCAACATTAACTGAAATAGATAATTAAATAATTTTAGCTTAGCCTATACCGTTCGTTATACATTAAACACGCATTCGTAAACGTATTTTGCGCACGCGCACAAGCATATTCTCAGCCGTAAAGGCCTTACGTGCATGTGTCGACACGGCGCATGCACAGAAAGTTTGAAGCTTTGAGGTCCGGATTATAGATCATTCTGGATTATGGGTGTCCGAATTAACAACTTTTCACTGTATTGTGCAGAGAGTCCAATGAATGCTTTACAGTTGCATTGGAATGTTTGGTCAGCTTTCCTAAGTGAACAGTGTTTATATTGATGTTCTCTTCTTCCCTTCAAAGACTCTAAGTAAAATTTTGAAATTAACAAGTTACATAGTATTTTTATCTGTTCAGGAACAGCTGGTTATTTAGATCTTTAGCAACTGCATACACAAGCTCACAAGTTTTACCATATTTTGCAGAAAACATGGTTTCAATCACTTCAGAAAAAGAGATATCTTTCTACATGTTGATGAGATTTCATTTTTTTCTTTGCCAGGGACTAATCTTATGTCACATCTTTATTATAATATTCAATTACGAAAGCAACAAATTTTAAAAAGGTTGAAATGATTCTGATGGTAAAGACTCATTAGGAATTTGATAGAGAAATACATGGAGTCATTGGAAAAGAGGATGGGGCGTCTGTTCAAAGGAGCACCCATAATATGCATAAATACGTCATTCAAAGCAAACAAACTGAAAAATGCCATAAACATTAAAATTCATAATTTTTTTACCCAAATATTTTTTCACACCACACTTTGGCTCTTTGTGAATTCTTTATGAAAGAATCACACTGAGTTTTACAATATAATAGTTGATAAATAATAAATTTGCCATTACATTCTTTCAAGAAGGAGGAATTACTGACAGTGAAAAACTTTTAGTAACCACAAGATGAAGTTATATTTTACTGCTAAAACAGAACCAAAATGGTACTGAAATATGCACAATTTGTTGTCATATACAACAAATATTTATACTTGATGACAACCAATTAATTTTAATGAAAAATTCTAAAGTATCAATTCTTGCTAAAGTAAAGTATCAGGTAAATAGCAAATTTGGCAATTTAATTGTTAGATAATAATTTTAATCTCATAACCTTATTTCCTTCTTTGTAAGGTAATCATTTTATTCTGGCAACATTATTATTATTATTATTTTGATAACCAGAATCAATGGGATTATGGGATATTTCTCTCTTGGTTACCTGCCATCTGTTCCTCAGCACTATTTGTAAGTTTTAAAACTGTACATTTTTAAACGGCAAAAGTAGAAATCGTCGTTTTACTTTCATTAACTGGCTGTATCAGCTGTTCTTGGATAATTGTGATTTTTAGTTATGTTTAGTCCCTCCTTTTTTTACAATTTGGAATGAAAAGGGAAAATATCTGCGTTACAGTAGTGCATGAAAATGGATTTAATTGCGAAGGTTGAAAGCTGAGTGCACAGTGATGAAATAGCTTTGGTAGATAGCCTGTGCACAATTCTGAAGTTGTACAGCATATTGAGTTTTTGTTATTATCTGAATTTTTTTAAGCAAATCATATAGCTGCGTACATAAAGATAACAACACAAAAATATTCCAAAATGATTTTACAAAAAATTAGTTTTATTTTTTAATACATCAAATAACTCTTGTTTAAAATTTGTATTATAAATTATTAAAATGTACGGGTGTACTTTCTTTTGATATGTTGAAAACGTTTTCTGACTTAAGATAAATATCGATAGTTTGGTAATCTTTTTTAAAAAGTCAGCAAAAATTTTTTATAAAAGTATCAATAAGTAACTTTTATCAAAAAACTGGATGCCTTCATGACAGACTTTCCAAAAAAACCCAGCTTTGTAGCCTTATTTATACTACAGATGAGAAAAAAAACACATCTCCCATGCAAATAGGCAATCTCACTTGTAACAAAGTTTTGGATGAAACAGCTCATGCTGAAGGATTTTACTCAGTTGCACACTGAGACACTTTTCACAATAAAATTTATCAACACACAAAGAATTTCGCATGCCCGGAAAAAAAAAAGGTTGATCTTTACAATATGGTAACTGGTAGTTTGGCGACATTTTGGAGGCGATAAAGGTTACTACCTGGGACTTTGGTAATAATGTGAGCAGTACTCAGTTCCGATTACGGATTATTTTGTGTGAGGGAAATGAGAGATCATGGGATATGTCGTGATATTAATGGACGAATTACGGTTCTTGAATCGGAAAAGGGGGGAAATCGGGAAAAAATCTGGAAATTTTGTATTTGGTTTATTCTGTGTTGTGTGAAACAGTGTTTCGTGAATTTTTGGATCCATGGCCGTAACTAAAGAAAAGTTTATCGGACACGTAATCAAGATTCTGAAGAAGATTAGGTAAGTTAGTATTTTTAATTATTTGAGGATATTATTTTTATGCATTGTTCTAATGTAAGGTGGAAAGGAATTTTTGTATTATTGGGAAAATTGTTATTAGCAATTGATTTAGTTTAAAGTATTAGGATTGTAAGGTAATTTTTATTAATTTAAATGTATGTGCTCATTTATATTTTAAGTAGTGTTTTTTGAATTTAATTATATTTTAATGAAATGATAGTTATTTTGTGAATTTTATGTTTGTAGGAATTTGGTATACGTTTAAGTTTGAAATAAACGTGCATGGAAATAACTTAAATATTGGATATTAAGTATTCGTAATGCTTGCGGTATGAATTCGTTGTGACGTGTATAATGTAATAGATGATTTAGAGGGTAAAAGTTTTTGGATATTTATTTATTTATATGTGGAAATGTTCATATTTGTAAAGGTAAATACTTTTTCGCGATCAGGTAATTTCATATATGTTCTTTTAACCGGGTTTAAAGATTGAGAAAATTGCCATGTATTTTTTGTGAAATTTTTCTAATTTATGAGAAAAAAGCAGTGTACATGGATATAGTGAAGAGTGTGCGCAATGCCATTTTTGTGCAATTGTGGGATGTTTTTTTAAGTAAAAATAAGTCGACGTGTACATGGTTTAGTGATATTTTAATTAAATGATAGTTATTTTGTGAATTTTATGTTTGTAGGAATTTAGTATAGGTTTAAGTTGAAATAAACGTGCATAGAAATAATTTAAATATTTGACACTAAGTATTTGTAATTCTTGCGGTATGAATTCGTTCGTGACGTTTATAATATAATAGATAATTGAGAGGTAAAAGTTTTTGGATATTTTACTTATTTTATATGTGGAAATGTTCATATTTGGAAAGGGTATATACTTTTTCGCGATCAGGTAATTTCATATATGTTCTTTTTACCGGGTTTAAAGATTGATAAAATTGTCATGTATTTTTGAGAAATTTTTCTAATTTATGACAAAAAAGCAGTGTACATGGATATACTGAAGAATGTGCGCAATGCCATTTTTGTGCAATTCTGGGATGTTTTTTTAAGTAAAAATAAGTCGCCGTGTATATGGTTTATGTGTATGTGTTATTTTGAAAAACGCGTAAAGAGTATGGTATTGTGCACAATTTTGCAGTGAATATTTGTCATGATTAAGCAGTTTTGTTTGATAAAATTTCTAGCATAAGTGTAATTCGGCTACTAGATTGTTGGAAGAAGTGTTCAGTAGATAAAAAGAAAAGAAACATGTCTTTACTTCGTTAAGACAAAATGGCGGCGGGGAAAAAAAAATAGAGGGTTGCTGTAGGAGAGTTGGTTGCCAAATTTTCGCCAAGTTACCATAATGTAAAGATCAACCAAAAATTATTGTCGAACACTAATATGTGCTTGTAGTTTTTATGGATACTTTCCATAAGACATATCCGATTAATTTCGTGGTACCTTCTTCTTCCATTTCACATTAAAATGTCATTTTTAAAATTTATTATTTATTTTTATTTTTTTCAAATATAAAAAATAAAAAAATAAATAATGGCCGGTTATTTCTGTAAGACAATGTAAATATGAATGCAAACTCGTTATGTCAGTTAGCAATGCATAGTATTTATCTAGCTAAATTACTGAAATTATTGAGAAGAATGAAAGAATAACTTACGCGTAGCACCTATGGAAAATTGTTCTTTACACCATGACAAGAATTTCGAACGATCCTCTTCACTTAGAGAATTTACTATTAAACAAAATGAATTTTGAGCAGCCTGCAAAGACATTTTTCGCGTCAAAATACAAAATCAAAACAGTACACATGTGCTATCAGACAGACAGACAGACAAAGTAGACAGATATCTTGTTTTGCACCCGCTAAGTCTTTCTGCACCGATGGGCGAAAAATCAAGCATAGGTGCGAAGGAAAGGTATATAGAAAGAGGGGCAATTTTTCGTATTTGAGGAGAGTAAAAAGGAACTTCGTACATCTTGTACGAGTTCAAAAGGCCAGGAAGAAAGATGGGACAAAATAAAATTTAAAATAAATGGCCCAAAAATAATAGAGGGAAAAAAAAAAAAAAAAAAAAAAGGCCGATAGAAAGAAAGGAAAAGAAGTAGAAAATATCCTAAAATACGATTGTGTCCATGAGTGTATTAAAGGAGAAGAAAACTGTCTTCATTTACAATAAATAGTGTCTCACAGTGTGTGTTTGTGTAGTGAGTGTGTTTGGTAATGGTGAATAGATGTGTTACTGGGGAAAAACAATATTTGACGGTGGTAAAATGCTTCGTATCAAGGTATTTAGCACGGAATAATAAAGTAATATGTTACGCTTGCATCCTGAGATATCAACAAAGGTCATCAAACAAAAGTATATATTAATTTAACCAAGTAACTTATGCTACTTTCATTCTCAACATTTTCATACATTTTTCAAAAAGCAGCGGCAGACTAACACATAGAACCATATACAATACAAGACCACAACCGCATACACCCAAAAAAATAAATAAATAAATAAAATAAAATATATATATATATATTTATGTGTGTAAATTACTGAGTATATGTATGAAAACACAAATTAAACAGTATTTATTAATTTAACTATCATAATTTATTACAGGATTAATTATTTTACTATCATAATTTATTACTAGTTAAATAATGTTTAATATAACACAATGAGGCACACTGTTATTTATATAAGCTCATAGTTCTAAAAATTCATTTAAGGCGGTGAAGAATAAACCAAATGAAGAATAATTCCTTACATATGGACATTTAACAGATAGCAAAGGAACAGTATGAGAAAAAATCGGTGAGGTATAATATTATTTAAAGGCGAAACTATATTCAAAAGCGATCTAGAAAAAAAGAGAATCCAGAAGATCCGAGAGGGAAATAGCGCGATGATCCAAATTATTCCCTCTCATCCCCAAATTTTCCCTCTCACGAGATTCCTCAAAACAAGATAAGGGGCTTTGTAAGTGGTGACAGACGTGAACTGATAACGTTGGCGTCTGTTTGAAGTTGATACACAAAGGAAGCCACAAGCAATGAGCAATTTCAAGTATTTTTTAATGCTTTAAACTGCTGAAAAATTAAGATTTTATTGATTTAAAGGCACTTATTTTATAGAAATTTGATTTAGTTTAGATGAAAGAAAAGTACTTATCTTAAAATTCCAGGCTTTTGGAGTATATCCTTACATTGTCCGCTGTTTTATTCTCGTCAACATCGGAGCCGAAATTCATTGGAATGATATAGGTTTTGTAGGGGAAAAATAAACATTTTTCAAAGAAATTTAATTGATAATCACCAAGAGGAAAGGAAAAATTTTCACTTTTTTACGGAGCGCAGCGATCGTGCTGCCGCTTGCCTCGGTGATCCCGTGCTATCAGACACCGATTTGGTGTCTGTGGAACAGAGAAATATATTTAAAGTTCCAAATAGCATTTATTGTTTATCTTTTCTGTAATAAAAACATAAAAAAATTATAAAGCAGTAACATAGATATAGTATGGGCAGTAATACACAAAATAAAACTGAATGGACATAAAAAAAAGAAAGATGTCAAATTTATATTAGTATTGAAAATATTAACAGTTTCTAAAGCTCTAAATTTCTATTTCTCTTCCATGTAAGTTTTAGACTCTTGTTGATTGTAAATACATAAATATCGTAAATAATAATACATTATTTCAGATTTAATTTATTAGAATAAAAATTCTTTAAAACTGTAAAAAGACTTATCGAAAGTAGGAATAAATTCGTTTATTATATTTTCCTAAAGAATTAAATTTGAAGATAATTCATAAATTTTAAAGCAAATATCAAAAAGTCTTTTATTTATTTATTTATTTTTTAATTAAATATTTCTTACGGTTATGGCTTGACCAACTTTATAACCTCATGTGTAAACAAAGCGGTGTGTTGTGTATTTGTTAGCGCTCAATTTTGTGATGAAGTTTTATTTAGCTATTTGTAATATGTCAAAAAGATGTATTGCGTTTCGGAAATACTTCCCTACGTTTCCAGAATCGCTTAGTTATAAAAGTAAATATTTTATTACATGATTTAATGGAAATTTAATGTATAATTTTGCTAAAATTCAAACTTGTCCAGTTGCGTCTGTTTTTTATTGTTAAAAGACTGAAAATGTATTCTTATGTAAATATTTCTGCATTAAATAGGAAATTGCCATCTTAAAAAATTCGCTTGGTCTCTGCGGAGAAAACCTACTGCATGAACCCAGAATTTTATGCTGAGAGGCGCGTAAAATAGTTCTTTAAACGAATATAAAAACATTTGATCAGACTTTCGAATACTAAAAGAAATTGAAATGTTGCCATGTAGATTCCTATATATATATATATCATCTGTAAAGAAATTTAAGAAGAAAAACCTTAAAAGTTAAAATTTCAAATTTTATTTTAAAAGGACAAAAATTTCAGTAAAATTTCTAACTTGCATGCTCCTCCCAAATTCCATAAAACACCACTTAAATTCAGATATATAGCTAATGGAACTAAAAATTATAAAGACATGTTGACTTCTTATCTACACAGCAGCTTAAAAAGGTTAATGACTTGATTTTTAAATACGCTAAAAAAAGAACACAATTTTTGTTGGAGCATTAATAATAACTTAACAATTATTTCTACTATTAAAGAACTAGGAATTAAAGAAATTAATTGCTATGATTTTGAAAACTTGTATACTATTTTTCCCTTTTAAGAAATTTACAATAATCTATTGCAGAGTTTCTTAAACTGTGGTTCACAACCCCAGTTGGGGTCATGGGACCTGCAGTAGAGAGCACCAAAATTTTTGCAATTTTGATATTTCTTCAAGCTATTATAATTTTGCAAGTACCAAATATTTTTACATAATGCGCCTTAAAATAAAGAAAAAAAATGGAATGTTTTGACGCATTTTTTTTTTTTTTTTTTATAATAGCAACATTGATTTTACTTTAAAAACTAAAGTTGATGACCTAAAACTGCAATAGCATTACAAGTGAAAATATTGACGGTTTCACTCACGCGTGTGTTGGATTTGCGCAATGCTTATCAGGTTCCACAAAATTTTCATAAATATAGGGTCCCTACACCAAAAAGTTTAAGAAAACCTCATCTGTTACAACTTCCAAATTTATTTCCAGAGATGCTTTTAGTATTTACAGTAGATAAATGGCAAACATACCTTAATTGCACACTTTTTAACAATTATATTAAATTCAATAACACCATTTTTAAACAAAAAAATGGCATTCCTATGGGTACAAACTTCTTGACACAACATACTGACCTCTGCTTGTTTACTAAAGATTTCCAGTTTCAATAGTCTCATAACCAAACAAGTTGAAAACTTTTTCTAAATATCTAGATACATTGATGGTATAATTAATTTTAATAGTTATGTTTCTATAGAAAAATTCCCAATCTACCTTTGTTCCCTAAAAATTGATAAAGCCAGTAAATATCAACAAGGAATGGATTATCTTGATTTACATATCATTACCCCCCCCCAAAAAAATTAAACTATATGATAAAAGAAGAATTTTGATGCAATTGTTGTTCTTGTGACTTATCTCTCTTGTCTGACAGTAACATCAAAACAAGTCCACGAAAGTTGTGACAGGGAGAGCAAGATTGAGCTTTAGAGCCTTGAGCACCGTACAGGTGACAGTACGACTTAACTCAGTTCTGTCCCAGTTTGAAGGAAAGCATCCTGGGTAGCAGGTCCAAGAATCTCCCACCTCTTTTCTCTTACCACCAATCCCTTGAGAGGACTTTCAACCCACCATGTATTTAGAGTGCTCCCATGCCCTCAAAGACACTTTACATTTACAAACATCCATGCCTTCACCGCGATTCGAATCCAGGCCCTTAGGTATTGGAGTATGTTCCTCTAACTGCCATACTATCAGGCCAGCTTAATACAATTAAACTTATTAGGGCGGGGAACGTTGCGGCATGCAATGAACTGGAAGTTGATCTGTCAGCACTATCCTTATCTTCAGGGCAGATGTTTTTATTTTATTTCAATTATAATTCATTACTAAATGTAGTATTTCATCTCAGTGTACTCCATCTTTTATATGATTTAAATCAAATTTCTCGTCATTATAAATATCACGAATACACATCAAATAGTTTTCTGGTTGCAATTTTCTAATTTCCACTATGCATAATGTATGCTTTACGCATGCACGTGTTGAAAGAAATGTTTAATAAAGTAAATAAATAAATATTAAGCCTTTTTTTTTGTAAATTTTGATACCCTTTAGATCATAATTGCTCTTTATTTCATAAATTATGGTTTCGTATTTTTAATTTTATAATTTCTGCATGCCGTCTTACTAGAGTTAAATTGATGATCTATAATCAGGAAAAACCGATAATCTGGAATCGTCGGAAGTCCCAACGAGTCGGGATTAAAGACTTTTGACTGTATTAATATAGTTGAGAAATAGCCTTTCTTTGACTCCAATTTACTTTTAACTTTAGAATCTTTAAGTATATAGGTTCCTCCTTTTGGAGTCCCAAGTCAAAAAGTGGAAGTGGAAATTAATTGTAACTATTTATTATAATGTATTTATTTTATATATTAATTTGTTTCTGTATAATTCGCATTATGATCGAATAATCAATAGACATATTTTCTAAGTATAAATCAAAGAGGTAAACTAGGCAGGATTCTGGTACATAATTTGGAATGAACTTTGCAAGTTAAGAGGAATTGTGGTATATTATTTGTAGTTCGCAATATTCATAATATGTTATTCCATAGCGTTTAACTTTGTTCATATACAGAATCTCTTACTAGCATTTCCAT